GTGGCTGTCTGGTACATCTACTCTTGTAACAAACTGATGTTATTGGCTTGATGTGCTAAAGAAATCCTTCTCATACCACACCCTGTGGCATTAAACATCCTCATGTATGTGTGGAAGAAATCCATGTTCATAGAGTTCCTCCTTTCAAGAGGAGTGAGGAGTATGGTGAGAGAGGGCAGGAATTGAGCTTGACAGTATTTCTTCCTCTGAATCTACCAGATGTGAATTCTTATATGCAAGCATGGAAGACTGTGTAGCTGTCTAGATATTTTCTACCAAACCTTTTTCAAATAAATAAGGAGAATTAATTGAGTTAGTAATTAATTACTCACTTTCTATTATTTTAATTGTGTTTTCTGTTTAGTAAATGATATAGAGTTCTTTGGAAATGAACCTCTTCCTTCCAACCGAGCTTGCTGGATGTCTGTGAGGGAAAACACTTCTGCACTAGTTGTCACTGCAGAATGTGTCTCCTGTAAATCTTTGACCCCTGTTTAATATCCAAAGGTAAAAGAGGACAGAGTCTACCTTAGTAGTGATGGGGATTTGCAACAGGATTGTGTGGGCATGCTTCCACATAATGTAGTTATGCAGTTAATTCAGTTTTTTGTTAGTTTGTGGTAATAGGCATTTGTTAGGTTTATTAACTTAAAACAGTTTATAATTATAAAGATAAGATTAGCAGATTCTGTAATAGAATTATGTCACAAATTTATGGGTTTTTTTTCCTTTACTTCCTTGAGATAAATTAAAACACTTCATACAGTTTAAAATCTGCTTCACTTCTGAGTCCTCTAGGCTGGCCAGTGACGCTTATGAAAAGCATTTTTGTTGGGCTAGAGAAACTCTTTTACCATTAGCAATCACATTACATGCAATCTGTAAGTACATTGGGTAGCAGTAGGTGCTCTTTTAAAAATCTTTTCTTGTGGAAAATATTGTAAGGAATACAGCAGTTCCTGAATTTTCTTACTGGGCGAAACATGACTACCCTGCGGTAGTAGCTTCCAGTGCCCGAGGCATCAGAATATTCAGGGTATTAATAAATACTCTATCCAGAAGATCTCTCATTTTTCAAAACCACAGTAACCATTGCTTTCAGTGGGATAATTAAAAGCCTTGATTCTTCAGAAAGACCACATAGGGAGGCGGGTTCTCTCTGCTTGTTCCTAATGCCTTTCATTCAGTCTGCAATGTCAGTGTGCAAAGCTTTCCATGGCTGAAGCTTCCAGGGGCCCCTTGTGTTCTGACACTTCTAGGTAGCTTTTGGATTTGGTGGCTTGTTTGCTAGCCATTTGCCTTTGTGTGCTGGTCTGGCATACTTCATAGTACTCACTGTTTGGATCAGTGTTCTCATTGGAGTTCAGGCCATTACTCAAAGCATAATAAAGAATAAATTAAATTGGTAATCTGGACTCTGCTCTTAAATGCTTTGAGGCTGTCCCTCATGATGACAACATTGGAATTATTTAATTAAAATTTTGCTTTGGGTTTCTGTGTTTGTATGTATATTCATCTTGCAAGAAGGAAGTCCTGCTACTGCAGAGAGATTCCAGTCTTCATTTTTTTTTCCACTTATGTTTTTAATACTGATTCTTGGGAGAGGAAATAAGACCTTACCTTGTCCCATACTTGAGCTCTCTGCAAATGTCATGCTGTATGTTTTGCCTTGGTCTGAATCAGCCATACCAGTATCTATGGAAGGCAGTACCTGCAAACCAAAAGAAAACCTTTTATTTAAGACCAGTGTAGACCTCCATTTCAGGGTCACATCACTGGAACGCTTTATAGGCAGCATAGACACAAGCATTTCAGTTTTGATTAACCATTGTACGTCTCCTGAGCACATGTATTACTGAGATAGCAGTATAGTTTACTCTGTATGTGCTAGTTTCTTTTTCATATGCTGGATAGATATCTGCTCATAGCATGAAATTTTATCTTTTGCTGGAGCTGTGTACGGTCTGGAATGGAGTTAATTTTCTTCTTAACAGCCCAGATGGAACTGTGTTTTGGATTTGTGACTAAAACAGTGTTGGTAACACAGCCTGTGTTTTGGCTGACACTGTAGAAGCACTGCTCAGCAACAGGTTTGTTTTTTTTTTTTTTTTCCCTGATGTACCAGCAAGTTCTCTGGGGGTGTGGAAAAGATAGGAATTAATGCAGCTGGGACAGCTGACCTGAGTTGATCAGAGGGAAGTTCCATACCATATAACATCACCCTCAAAAAGCTGTGGGTGTGAAGGTTTGCCCTTGCAGGTAGCTGTTGCTCAGAGGCTGGTGAGGCATCGCTCTGCTTGTGGAAAGTGGGGAGTGAGTGAGCAACTGGGTGGGCGTGTAGTTGCTGGCTGGTGTCAACTCACCACAGACTGTTATAGCTACTGTGTTCAAGAACAGTATTTTGCATCTTTTGCTTCCAGCTGAGCATTTACAGGTATCCCTGAAGTGAGGATAGAACATGAGGTTGGCTTTGGAAAGAACATATGTTATGAAAGTAAGGAAGAATAGTCTATGGGAATGTAGTGGGAACTGCAGGAAACTGGAATTGGGTTTACCATAATAAAGGTGGTGTTTGAGAGAGGTGTGATTTGAGTTGAGGAAAAAAAGACAACTGAGAAAACGGGAGTGCAGGGAAGATCGTATTATTTTGTATTGTTAAAAGGAACTCATAGAAAAAGATATTGAGAAATGTTATAGTAAGCTATCCTCTTATTGGGTGTTTTTAACAACACTGAGAAATTCGTAGGTGGTTTAATTGTATTCTTTTTCAGGTGAAAAATTTTAGAGATGCAACATAAAAATTAACAAGTTTTTTTGTTTTAGCAGCTAGAATTATTTACTAGCTGTTTTATATCCCATGAAACACCTTCTGTTCTGCTGTAATTAAAGAAGTCATTATGATTCCACCTACCAAAACCAAGGAGATAGTCAGTTTACATAGGTACAGAAGTACTAGTTAGCATGCTTTCTTTCAGACTGAAGTTTTCTAGAGTGAATTATTAGTTGTGAAATTGTAGCTGAAGGGAGAGAAACAGATGTCAGATGACCCAAGCCCTTAATTATCTTCATGGGTTTTTGCTGGACCTGCTCCAGTGTATCCGTGTCTTGCTTTTACTGGGGAGTCCAGAACTATACCCAGCACTCCAGGTATGACCTCACCAGTACTGGCAGAAGGGAAGGGTCATCTTCTTGCATAACCTTCTGGCAGCACTCTTCCTTACACAGCCCAGGATTTTGTTGGCCTTTGAGGGCATGTGCTGTCCCACGTTTAGCCTGTTGCCCACAAGGACTGCCAAGTTCATCTGCAAAGCTGTTTTCTAGCTGGCCGGCCTCTGGCCTGTACTGTTGCATCAAGTTATTTCTTCCCAGGTACAAGACCTTGCATCAAAGCATGTCTTCCAATTTTCAGCAACATTTAGGTTGGGCATTCTATCTTCTGTTTATAAACAATTTTTTAAAATATATCTCAGAAAGATAGATTTTATTGTGTTATATCTGTTATAGTTTTATACTTTTTCATAAGCGTGCACTTACAGATAGGATATTGAGCTGGGTGGTCTAATCTAATTCTTATGTTCCAAATATAATTAAAAACAAACAAAAGCATACTCAGAAATATACTATAAAATGTGATTTTTTTTTACTTGATTTTTTTTTCTACTTTTCAAACTTCAGTCTATACATTTATGACTTTGGAAGGTAAAGCAATGAAGTATTTTCTTTAACCAAATAACTGGACTTCACTGATGGCACTTTTAATTGGATTTTTCCACCTAGATGCAAAATTTCATTTGAATGCCCAAACAGAGGCTGGTCAGATTAGCTTGTATGTTTTGTCATTTATCCTACTCTTATTCCTTCTGTCTAATTTTATTTGCTTATGTTTTGTTTCATTTTTTGCTCTACCTTGTATACTACAGGAGATGTTACAAATGTTCTCAGCCATCAGCCTTTTTTAGCTGATGGAAACAAGTTCTTTGCCATTTAAAGTCTTCGTATGAGACAGAAGAAATGGTCCATCCTCATAATTGTTTGAGTGCTTTTTTTGTGTATTTTTCCTATATAATAAGACTGAAAAACTTTCTAATTGAACTGTCACTTCACCTGTGATTTAGCAAAGTACTGAAAACAAATTGATGTCAGGAAACAGTTAATGGAAAGTAAATAAAACCTGGAGGACTGAAACTGATGAAACTATAATAAAAAAAAACAACAGGAGAAAAAAAAAAATGGAAAAGACATATTTTCATCATGACTATTTAATACTTGGCTACAATTGTGTGAATTTGCAGGTGTTAAATTATCCGGAGAATGGCTTGCAAAATTTTACTGTTGCCAGTAGAAGTATACTGGGAATTAGGTGGAAGAAAATAAGCAATGTCCAACAGCCTACAAATTCCAGACAATATGTATTCTGTAGTTCACATGAAGTTTTATGTGAATGCAAAATATAATGCTGATCAGCCTTAATTTATGTAGTGTTTTATGGCTCTGATAAAACAGAAAATATAAATAGCAACAGGAATGTTTAGTGATAATTTTTTCCATGATTGGGAAGCCTTCAATGAAATCATTCTGTTGCTGTGTTAGATTTGGATTGCTCTGTCAGATTTCCGTGAAATATAGTGAAGTACTTTCACTGTTAATTTGCTCTCAAATTTTAAAAGAAAGGTGTACCTAATATGCTGCCATGTGCTTTTACAGTTATTAAATTAGTTTACCATTGTTTTGTGTTTCTCTGAAATAAATAAAAAACCCCACAGCAGATTTATTGCTTTTGTTACATGTTAAGTCTTCTGTTGCTATTGAGTAACAGAATAAATCTGATTTTACAGAAGTGCTTAAAGGTCTGTTTTCTAAAGGAAAAATGAATTTTTATCTTCTCTCCCTTCTTTCTTTTTATTGCATTTTGAGATCTCATAAACATATTCACCTTTGTCTTACTCTGTGTTACTGGGTTCCTAATTGATGTGCTATCAATTCAATATGTCCTTCTGCAGGTTGTTAAATGTGCTATGTTGTGAGCTCAATACCCTTTTACTCTTGGAGACTCAGTATAAAGTGTCACAAGTTTTACTAACTGCTCAGGAGGAAAATGTCACAGAAACTTCAGAAGGACCAGGGTAAGAAGTGACTGATGTAAATGCTAATTATCAAACTTTTCTCCTGGGAACAAATATGTGAATACCATAGTGACTTTAAAGGTACAAATACTCTCACTGAAGTTGGCTTCCCAGGTGACTAAGTTTACTTACATGCAAGTTTGTCATCAATCTTAAATTATGAAAAAATACAAGTCTTGTTCTTTCTGGTTTCCCTGTCCCTGGAGGTGTTCAAAAAACATGTAGATGTGGTACATGGTTTAGTGGTCACGGTAGTGCTGGGTTGATGGACTTGATGGTCTTAGAGGTCTTTTCCAACCTTAATGGTTCTGTGTTTCTATGATTTTTCCCATGTCCACCTCAAAAAAGTAAGAAACAAAACCCAAATATTTTTATCTTTTAATTTTTAAAATTATTTTTTTTTAAAGTGCTAAATTTGTGGTTGTAAATAGGTCTTTGTGGTTATGAATTAGTCATCATCAGTACTTTGTGCTTTTTTATTTGAGTTTTTTTTAATTTATGTAAAACTTAGTTGACTCTCCAACTTCTGAGACTTTCCATTGCTGACTTCTAAATAAAATTGCACAATGCATCCTTTCAAAATAAAAAAAGTATTTTTGGGACAGAAGTGGCCAGTCATTTAGTCACAGACATTTTCTCTTTTCTCTCAGCATGCTGAACTTTAAGAACTTCCCTCTTACTATTCCCTGTATGGGACCAGTGCAGAGCTTAAATCAAACAGTATTGGTGAAACCTCATCAGATATAGAGGAGTGATATTTACTATTTAAGCATGAAACCTGTTTTCCTTACTAAGGAAAAAGTTTTAAGAAACTTGGTGAATAAAACCTGATTTTTATTCCTTTTAAACATTTTTGTACGTTGGGCCACACAGTGGCTTCAGACAGCAATTTGGTCGGGTGTTGACTTACGAATAACTCTTGCTTATTTGTGGCAGCAGAAATTTGCTGGTAAGCCACATAAGGAGCAAACTTTGATGGTCCGTTAACTGTTTCTGCCCTAATTACTGTGTAGGCATAACAAAGCCTGGGAAGTTTTCTGCTCTCTTGTGCTCAGTAATTGCTCAGATGTTTCCAGTCATCAGTGGCTAGGGAAGTGGGAAGTATGAATTAGGATAATGCTTGCAGAAATCTCAAATTTCTTCATGTTTCTGTTTATTTCTTTCTGCCTGTGGGTTTTCCAAGTTGTGTTTTAGCTCTGATATGTCTCTCAATGTATTCTTGCTCATTGATGTTTTCCGAATTAAACAGTTGGTAAAACAAAGTCGTTCTGATTTTTGGGGGGATTTTATTTTGATTTCTTTTTTTCTTTTTTTTTTTCCAGAGACTTTATAATTGATGGTCTTTCAGTGGAAAGAAACCATGTTCTTGTAAGGATAAATCTGATTGGAGGACCACAGGAGAGGATTTTGCCTTTGAGAGTACTAGATAAGGTTAGAATCTAAAGTTTAACAGTTTCTCTTTCCGTAACTTCGACCTTCATTAATTGAACAATTTTGCTGATAATTCAGCATGTGGAAAATTATTTACCATTAAGAAATACCAGTTGACCTCTAGCTTTATAAAGGGCTCAAATTTGTAAGAAGTGATATGTTGAAAAAATACATTGGTCCCACACTCTGGGGTTTGGCATTCACCTAGGATGTATCGTGTTCAATGAAATGATGACATGTTTATATTGCTCCATTTTAATGTTACTTTTCCTATTATAAAAGTGAATGCAATTTGAATATTTTTTTACTTTTCTATTTCTGTGTTTTCTTTATTAGATTTCTGTTCATAATATTTGCCTTTTAGTTGATATTTTTTCCATGCTTAGGTTATCATCTGCAGTATCTAATACCTGGAGCTTTAGTTGATGTTCTAGCAGTACAGTGTGTGTTAATCAGCTCCTTTAAATGTTCTGCTTCTCACTGGCTGTCGGTCTTGTAAAGATGAAATGCAAATTGCTATCAGCACAGCAAAGACAAATAGGTCAGGGTATAAAATTGTAAATACAGTTTTGTGGGTATTTTAAATTTTTATAAAAACTGCAATTTCCTTTTCAGTTGAAAAAAAAACTCTGTAAAATCAAAACTGTCAGTGGAATATAATGGAAAAAAAATTCTAGCTCAAATCCTTTTTGGATTTTGTATCCTTTAACTTTTTTTTTATTACTTATGGTTTATCTCATTGCAAACTGTATCAAGACTAATTTTGGTGTATAGGCAATAATTCTGGCAATTTTACCTGTGTGTTAAATGAGCAAATGCTATTAATTCTCCTAAATTAATTTCTTTCTGGTCCTTTTTCCAGAGCAGTGATCCCTATCCTTGGCCGATGTTTTCATCATTGCCTCTGCCCAAGTGCTATCTTGCAGAAATCCCTAGGAAACCTGAATACAGACAAGGTACATAAAAAGAATGCAAGCAGTGTAGATGTCAAACATCTCTGTTGATTTAATTTTTTTTTTCCTTCCTTCCTTCCTTCCTTCCTTCCTTCCTTCCTTCCTTCCTTCCTTCCTTCCTTCCTTCCTTCCTTCCTCTTTTCCCTCTTTTCCCTCGTTTCCCTCTTTTCCCTCTTTTCCCCTTTTTCCCCTTTTCTCTTTCTCTCTTGCTTTCTTGCTTCCTTCCTTCCTTCCTTCCTTCCTTCCTTCCTTCCTTCCTTCCTTCCTTCCTTCCTTCCTTCCTTCCTTCCTTCCTTCCTTCCTTCCCCTTCCTTCCTTCCTTCCTTCCCCTTCCTTCATCCACAGATTACAATCTTATAAGTATTTCAGGATTTTTTACTGTTGGCTGCATTTATAGCAAAGTGGTTTGGTTTTGCTTCTTAGCCTTTGCGCAACTGTCAATCTGCCAAGCTCTGTTTAGTAATCTTATTCCTATGCAAACTTCAGGATTAACCTTTTGGCTTGTCTTAGGTGAGTGACCCATGATATACGTTGATATCATCTCTCTAGTAACTGAAGCAAGACGGTATGGCTAAGCTACAAATTTTTGGTAAACTATTTTTGTGATTCAGTTCTGTGTGTTTACAAAGCTTGGTGGTATGTGAAATAGACAGCCTGTAGGATAGTTGGTTTCCACATTGAACATCAGTTTGGAATGTGGGCAGACTGAAGAACCCTTTGAAGAGCTATCTAGGCAAAACAGTTTAATACATACAGAGAAACAGCTTCAGGGTTTTAATTTGCACAGACAATACAAAAGAATCTGATGAATGATTTATAGTAAATAAATCATTCTTTGTGTTCATATTTACTGTACCCTTAAGATGTATTTATTTGGAAATATTTGTGAATTTTCTTAGCAGATGCAGTTTTTCAAAAGTGATAGAAATTCTACATTAACTGTAGAATACAAAGCAATCTATTTATAAATACCTAGGAAAAAAAAAAAAAAGATAATTCCCTTCTCTAACAAAAGGAAAAGCCATGTACTTATAACAGAAGGGAGTTTTTTTTGTAGCTTAACTTTGGTAATGCTTTTCCAGGTTTCCCAAGGCAATTTTCTTGCAAGAACAATTAAATCACTGTAAAGTGGGTGCCCAGTTGTTTTAAACGCATCTTCAAAGAGGCAGGTAGTATTGCTTTTGGATTGGAAAAGCATCTTTTGTTATATCCCACAAACCTCTCTCTCCTACTGTTCAGAGCAATTCTGTTTCTCATCATTAACCAGTGGAGTAATGAAATGGCGATGGCAGTTGTCACGTTTGTGGATGACAACCAGCTAGGAAAGCCTGGGTAAATTTGTTAGCTAACAGTAAATCTGCTGAAATGAAGTTTCACAGTTTTGCAGACCTGTTTGATGAAGAATTGAAATATCTCTAATATTAAAAAATGCCATTTCAAATCCAAATAACTGAAGTAAAATACTACATAATTTAAAAATGAGCAGAACATTTATTTTCATAGTCAAACAAAATCTTTTTATTTAAAAAACAAACACACAAAAAAACCCTCCAAAAACATTGAAAATATTATCTTTCGGTTTTCCTTAAAAAAAAAAAAGTGATTCTTCCACCAAACTGTTAATGTCACATTTGTCATACTGAAGGTTTCAGGATGTGCAAGTTATTTTTAAAGAAGATGTCTATTTTTAAAGAAGATGTCAGGATAAATAGATCAAAAATGAAAAGAATGGAATTAATTTATACTTCCAGTGCTTGGGGGAGGGAAGCATGAGTAGAAGATCTGAACTGTATTCTTCAGCACGGCATTATGGCCGTAACAGGAGTGCTCATTCACAAGAGAGTTTAAACGTACAATTATGAGAAAGATCTGTGAATTACACTTATACAAGACAGAAGATGATCTTTGTGAATTACAGATGGTGAGTCCTTTGGTGGAGTGCCTCTAGCACAGGCACTGTAGTCTAAGGAAAATTGATGTATTTGAGGGATTTGCTGTTGAACTCAAAGATCTTAAAGGTCTTTACAGCCTAAATGATTCTATGATTCTAGAGCACAGCTACAGATTGTGACTTCAAAATGTCATATGCAAGTATACATCGAAATAATTGGAACTGACTGATGCTGAAAAGACAGAGGCCATGGAAGTCTCTTAGTATGTTATTAGCAGTTACAAGGAGATTATGTTGATTGTTTATGTTCTTGTGCAGAAAAGGAGATAGTTGGCTTACTTGGCAGTAAAGATTTATTACAAATTTTAAAAAAATTCTAGTAGGATACATCTGGAAGCCATGAACTCATCATTGGAGGCTTTAAGATCTACTTCTTTGATGTTGTGACTATTCAGAATTCATGTTGTGTGTTACTTACACAACTTGCTTGGAGGTTTTAAAAACAGTTTAGACAATTATTAAATTTTAATTCTGGTTCAGTGGAAGGAGATGGTCACAGTTCACACAGACTTCTGCACAGCAAGAGTTCTGCAGCCATGCAAATATTTGTACTTCGTGTGAGTGGGGACATGTGACTTTGTTGTATCTGTCAGTAAGGATCAAAGGCCAGCACAGAGTTTGTGATTCCCTGGAGCTGTCTGTGTTCAGGGTTCATGCTGCAGTGTTCCATTACGGAACCTCTGCACTGTCATTCCTGTCCTCTTTCTGGGGTGTTTCTGTAACATGAATAATTAAGACCACTAGACTATTAGTACTGTTAAAGAATGTACAATTTCTTCAGCTGAAAAGACTGCAACTTTAGATTTTGTCTGTCTTGAGCTCTTATTTATCTCTTATTACCCAGATAACATGGACACCTGAATAGAAGCTTACATTTTCTTTCTTGTTTAAAAGCTTTAAAAGTTGGTCCTCTGTCTATCATGTAATTGTGATGTCAGCTGTAAAACTGTAACCTGAGTGGACTACTTTTTTTTTTAAAGTGTATCTGTAGAAGAGATATTGGAGAGGGCTGGCTGGGGATGAGGAAGGGACAGAGAAGTGCACTCAGATATGAGCTGCATTCTAAACATGTTTCTTTTCTGACCCTCCCTTCAGGCGGAGTTTAAGGACAGATGCAGGGTGTCTCTAAACTAATTGAAGTTGCCTTTCTGAGTGCAAGCTGAAATTACTCACTGAGTATTTTGGAACTAGTGTGGCTGTGGCTTGCTGGAAAGATTATGTACTACTGAGGTCAGGGAACAGGAAGCTTCATACACATTATGTATCTAGTGTAACAGAAACCATGGTTAAAGTAGTATATGAGGGGTGGTCACTGAAAAGGACCACTTATTCACACTGAGTTTTCTATGAAGAAACCCCAAGAAATAGGATTTTTTTTTCTTCCTTCTCTAAATCCTTTTGAAGGGCAGTGGTAAACATGCAGCACTGGAACCTTTTTGGTTGTTCAGTTTAGAAGGGAAAGGAAGGAGGACTAATTAGCTGTAAGGAAAAGCAGAGCAGTGCTAATTGCAGAGTGTCTGGAACATGTTTCCCAGCACCAAAGCCTGAAGACTGCATATTAGAGAACTTTTTTTTTTAACACTTGCTATTATCCTCTGCTGGTAGATTTCTCACAAACACTGGCAACTGGATATTTTGCCTCACTGGATGGGAAATGGAGCTATTGTAATTTATGCTTGCAAAATTAGTAACTCTATTGTTGTAGTGGAGTGATAACTCCATTTCATGTAAACTTGCCCAAAAAGTATATTTGTATTTGAGGAAAATCTGTAGTGCATCACTCTTTACAAATATGTGCCCTGGTTTGGCAGATGTTAGACATTTGCCTCTATGGTATATGTGTCTGTAGGAAAGGATATATAGAAAAATAAGCTTGCTGGCTTGTGTTTTGATACGCATTAATTATTTCAGCGCGTATTTGGAGTAGGAAAACTATTGGGTAGCAGTATATTAATGGTTCACTTCTGTCAAAGATAATTTATAGTGAAGCTTCAAATGATTTATATGGAACATTATTTACAAGTGGAAATTAATTATACTATTTCCACCTGTTTACCCTGCAGCAAGATACCCTGTTGCTTTTCTTTTGTCTTAATTGTACAATTATTATTTCAGTAAGATAATTAGAGGAAGAACTATTAAGTAGCTTTCAAAGAGTGATGTAGTCTTTTGTTATTCAGGATGCAACTATTACAAGTGATGATTTTTTTGCTTATAATATTAACAACTCTGTACGTGATTAAAAATTAAACTTTTTAGAACTTTATGAAACTGTAACATTCAGTCTTCTGTTTGTACAGAAGATGTATTCTCATTTTATTCTAGCTCTGCAGTTGTGACAATTGGTTAGGGGTGTGCTTAAAGAATAGTGTCCATAATTGTCTTGCAATGACACATTCACTGGTTAGCATTTCCATATACACAGGCACCCCATCATTCATCTAGCTGGACTTTGATAAAGCCTTTGACACCGTCTCCTATAACATCCTCCTTCCTAAGTTGGAGAGAGATGGGTTTGATGGATGGACTGTTCAGTGGATAAGAAATTGGCTGGATAGTCGCACCCAGAGAGTAGTGGTCAATGGCTTGATGTCTAGATGGGAAACAGTGACAAGAGGTGTCCCTCAAGGGTCTGTACTGGGACCGGTGTTGCTTAACATCTTCATCAATGACATAGTGGCATCGAGTGCACCCTCAGCAAGTTTGCTGATGATACTAAGCTGGGTGGTGCAGTTGATGTGCCAGAGGAGCGGGAGGCCATCCAGAGGGACTTGGACAGGCTGGAGAGGTGGGCTCAGGTGAACCTCATGAGGTTCAACAAGACCAAGTGCAGGGTCCTGCACCTCAGCAGGGGCAACCGGCATTACCGATACAGGCTGGGAGAGGACATGGTAGAGAGAAGTCCTTTGGAAAAAGACTTGGGGGTACCAGTAATCTTTCTCTCTTCATGACTTATGCAGTCCAGAATTACTACCAAAAATCTTCTGGGATAATGTTCTTAAAGGCTTTTGATGTTTTATCTCTGCAACTGTTCTGGAAGTTCTTTGCTTTA